ACTAAGATAAAATATAAGAAATAGGTAATATAAATATTGACCACCAGTACAATAGGTAGTCAATATGGTTGATTATTTTTTATTAACCACAAAGCGCAATCGGCAAGAGCAAAGTCTACAATAACATATAACATTGTAATAATATATTGAATTGTATCTGTCCATCACTATTATAAATAACTACATATAAATTATTCTAAATGTTTAAAATATGTTATTTTATAGATTGAAAAATTGTGTATTTTATCGCTCTATTGCGTATTATGAAATGTATGAGTTTATATGTCTTTTTAGATAAATGTCAATCTGAAAATGTCATTGTGCAGTATACGTTTATTAGAATATTAGACAACTGAAATTATAGACCAATACATTTAAAAAATTGTATGCTTTTATAATGTTTTTAGTTAAAATGTTCAACTAGTGTTGTATATAATAAAATAGTCAAAATTCAAATTTCAGATAACCTTTTTACAATTTTTTTCATGTAAAATAAATAGAACTTATCGATTTGAAAACATGCTTACAAGTAATGAATAGGTAGCTAAAACATTACCTATGTGCAATGTTTAGACTATGCGCAATAATCGATTTTGTGACTTAATCTCTTTCCGATTTTGAAAACTCATGTTTTTTTCATTTATTCAAATAATTTAATTCTAAATATAAATAGTAAAATTAGCTAATCAGCCGATTTTTTTTTCATTTTATAATTTAAAATTATTTGCAGTCATATTTTTTTTAAATTACCCATTTATAAAGTTAGTGTGAACAATCTAAATAATTAATACTTATTATAGTTAAAAATTTATAATTTTTAAACCCATTTTCTGGATATGCTGAGACTTATGTAAATTAAATTGAAAATATTTTTAATCTAGATAAAATGATTTTAAAACTGGAAATATTAACATAACAAAACGATTCAATACTCAAAAATACCCAAATCAAAAAAAAACATTACTCTTCGTATAACTTCATATTTTGGTTTAACTTGGTTATGTGAGTCAACATTTTTAAGTATGAAATATTTAAAGAACAAATATCGGTTGAGAATGAATAACAATAATTTGGATTCAAGTTTAAGAATGACTATTTACATTTATTAGTCAGAATTTTTAAAACTTGTAGAAACTCGATCTCGATGCCAACTATTACATTTATTAATTTATATAATTTTTCCTTTTTCTTTTAAATAAAGTCTGATCAAATTGTTCAATTTATTATTATACATTCTATAACACTGTAATTCCTGTAATAAATTAACTTTAAAAATGTACATATATCTATTCCAAACGAGTACGCAAAGGGGAATTTGAGGGGTTCAACTCCTTCTCCATTACTTTTTTAAAATCTAGGTCATTAACTATTATTGGTCTTATCGAATTAAAAGGAAGTTTATTTCTGAAAAACTCCTGAATTATAAAGTATTAAAGAAATACTATAATCAATATATACATACTTTTTATGTACTTAAAAAATTAATAAAAATATAATACTAATTATTTTCATAAAACCTACATAAAAAAATTCTGCGCACAGACCTGACCTATTTTATTTTGACTAAATGAAAAATATGAAAATACTTCTAAAATCTAAATAAAAAGATATCTATAATCGAAGACTTAAAATTTTGAATGTAGCTCACTCATTAAAAAATTTTAATGACCCTTGTTAACTTTTATACACTATACACGTTTGGTATAAACATTCAGTTTAGTACCATGTATTTTACGTGTGTCATGGTTTTCATCTTTTACTAAAGATGTTTTTCAGTATATGTTTAGATATATTTTTACATAGAAACATTATTTGTGATTAAATCATGCGCGTTTAGCATTTAAAATAGTTAATCTAGCACTAGCCATACTATTTTGAAGAAGCATGTCAATAGACACCCCAAGTCTTTATTACTTAAAATATATAGTATAAATATAAAAACTCAACTCGTATACAAAAACTATGATAGCTCATAAAAAAATGTAGAAATTAATATTTTTTTAGCTTTTTTTGATCCAATTTAAAGCTTTGTAAACTTAAATTTCAGTGTAGCCGCGTTGCCTGCATGAGCCTATTTACGACTACTGCCTCTATTGTATTATATCATCGTAATTTTATACTTATTTTAATAATGTGATTTATAATAAAAAATCAAGAGATTTAAGTTTACTAAAATTTAGTAAGTACTAAAATTAAAGATGATGGATAAAAATTGTGGTGGAGAATTATAACTTGAATGTGATATGACAAGGAATAGTAATAAAAATTATATAAATTATATTATGCAGTTACGTAATATAGTTAGTACATCATTGTTTGGGTCGAGAATTTTTAATTGTTGTTCAATATAATATGAATAATAAATATAATAGGTAGTTTGGCATATAATATAATTGGAGAAGTTATTATTTTATTACATACCTAGCAACATGAAAAAGTGCTAATTGAAAATAGAATTCTTGTATTTATGTTAAAAAAAAAACTTATGTTTTATAAAATTTGAAGTGCTTAACATTTTATTTTTGAAAATAATAAAATAAAAGTTATTATTTTGTATCATTGTGATTATTTATTTCCCTTTTTATTCCATAATAATATGAAATTAAAAATATGGTTTAATAACGTGACATATAATAAAAAAAAGTAAAAATCACCATAACTAAGTAAAAAATAAAAATATGTACATAATTACACAAAATTATTTATTCCAAAAATTTATAGGATAATGAGTATCTTGCTTTAAAATAATCACTTAACATAATTTATATCATATGTACCAATTATTACGTATTAAATGTATACAATAATTAATATTTGATGTATCAATTTTTGTTTTTTTATGTTTTTAACTGAAAAACGCGCATAGGAACTTACACGTGTCAATGACCTGAAAAATCAAGAATACGTTGTGTAAAATTCATATATTTTACACATTATTAATGTCACTAAAATGTATTTTTTGGACATGTTTTCAAAAAAAAAAAAAGATAAAAAATAGGTACATATAAAAAGAAAACAATGAAATCTTTACTACAAGCTTATACATTATAAATGGTACGTTGTCTGAAAAACGAATTTAAAATTTAATGAGTTTACTACTAATAAACAATCATAATAAAAAAAAAAAAACAATACACAATAAATCAACGTCACAACGGAATTCGTAATATTCATCTTACAGATATAACGTTGTTATACCCTAGGTTGTCTAAAAGTCAATTATTATTATTGTGGATCACGGAAGATGATTCTTTTAAATTCAATAAAAAGTTAATTCAAATCAAATAAACGTACTTGCTTCATTAGTAAAGATAGTGTATTGAAATTGGAACGAAGCAGAAACGATTAGTATGGCCCCCGCAGTGCAGGTTTGAAAAAAAATGATCCTAATGAAACCCTCTGTATTATTAATACCTGAATTTTTTTTCAGAAAATCTATATTTTAATTTTGTAACATAGGATGAGGTACAATAAAAATCAAGAACTGTATAATGGCGTAAAAATTTTAGATAAACAATTCTAAATTATGAATGGCTGAAAAATATTATTAGTTATAATATAAGACAGTTTTATATAAGGTTTCTAACATGGTCTGTACTATATATTGTAACATATAGACTGTACTTAACTGTTGAAAATGTATTTTATTTTAAATATAACTATAGTCAACCTTTGCACCGATATTTTTGTTATTAAAGCACATATTATTGTTGGCTTACAAAAGTGCAACACTTCTCTGGTTGAGAATCAATGAAATATCTTATATTAAACTATAATAGTATAGGTGTAATTTTATAATAAAAAAAGGGGAGAGCGTTAGATTCATTGTAATGCAGCACTATTACTGTCATCGTGTTTTAGTAAATTACATCACACACCATAGTGACGGTTATATAAGTTTCCGGTTTTACAATCTGCATGATTTAACTATCAAATCACAATTCACTTGACGGAAATCAATCACCATACATTATTGTATATACCTATCATCACAAATTTGCAATTTGGCAAAAAAAAAAAAAAAATTGCTTAAATATTTACAAAACAAATGTATTGTTAATTATTTTAAACGTTAATGCTAAAATATATCACCGAAATTATTTAATAGCTGTGCGCCAGCTTTAAAACCAAAACCTTGTTTTATATACTATTATACAATGATTCGAAGATACAATAAATATATTAATTTTTCCGATTACTAAATATTTTTATGTACTTATTAACGATATTTCATTAATATTACATAAGATAAAATGAGTAATACATATAAAGACAAATATAATATAAATAATACATATCGCTACATGATGATTTATCGTAACGAGTTATCAATTTTTTTTAGATTTAAGTAACTAGAAACATTATCTCGTTTTAGAATTGAAATGTGATTTATAAAAAAATTATTTGACGTTATATAATCATCTTACCGTAGTAGTCCAATAAACATTTTTATACCTTACAATATTGAGATTTATGTTTATGGTCAAATTTACGTATTTTTTTTTTTTTTTATCAGTTTTGATTTTATACAGTAAATTACAAACGTAAAATATATGAATCCCAAAAATAATAATAACTGTAATCCTGTTTCCAGAAAACAGCACGATTGTGATTCCACTCTCACCACGGTCCAGCAAAATGTAAAAAAAAAAAAAAACCACTTATTAAGGTTATAAGAAGATGTGTAATATGAAGAGAGGGTTTGAAACCGGTAAAGGAACCCCAGAGTATGATACACCGACAAAATCATTCGGTTTTGAATCCCAACCAACAGACCCCTCACTAAACACAACGCGAGTGTATCTGCACAATGATTACATCATGGTTTGTGTAACCGATAGAGTGTAAAATAACAGTCGGAGTAGTATGCAACATCGTAAATTCGAACGAAAACCGACAGGGAAAAAAAGATAACAGTAAGTTTCGCAACAGACTTAGGACGTTGGGTGGGAGACGAGTGCAACGGGAACACGCTGGATACGTAGTAGTTACCTACTAACCTGCAATGCGCCTTGTCGGACTTGTTCAGCGACAGCCTGGACAGCAAGGGTATGTGCCTGTGCAGGGTGCCGAATTTTAATTCGTATTAATGTAACAATTTCCTCTTAAAATAAATTAAATCTATTACAAACATTCAAGTTAAATTCAATGATTAATCTGTTGTATAATCTCATTACAATAATAATCATCTTCATAATAATAATATATATTAATATCAATATCTCTCTAAACATATTCTTTATAATACCTGATGACAATAATTTACAATATCCGATTTCTAAAACAT